AACGCAAAGGTATTGCGAGGTAACGCAAAGGTAATGCGAGGTAACGCAAAGGTAATGCGAGGTAACGCAAAGGTAATGCGAGGTAACGCAAAGGTAATGCGAGGTAACGCAAAAGTATTGCGAGGTAACGCAAAGGTATTGCGAGGTAACGCAAAGGTATTGCGAGGTAACGCAAATGTAATGCGAGGTAACGCAAATGTAATGCGAGGTAACGCAAATGTAATGCGAGGTAACGCAAATGTAATGCGAGGTAACGCAAAGGTAATGCGAGGTAACGCAAATGTAATGCGAGGTAACGCAAATGTAATGCGAGGTAACGCAAAGGTATAGCGAGGCAACGCAAAGGTATTGCGAGGTAACGCAAAGGTAATGCGAGGTAACGCAAAGGTAATGCGAGGTAACGCAAAGGTATTGTGAGGTAACGCAAAAGTATTGTGAGGTAACGCAAAAGTATTGTGAGGTAACGCAAAGGTATTGCGTGGAAACGCAAAAGGAAAAAAATCCCCCATGTCCCCTCGCGGGCTCCGTACAACGAATCCTGGGATGTCCTCGACTGAGAATAAAACTTAAATGCGGACTTCATTTCCAGGGTTTTGTGGGCCACATTCATCGCACACATGAGAAGGAGCCAATGAACTGGGACAGTCTACGGTGCAGGGCAGTGACGTAAGCAGCAAACAAAGGTGGACTTAGGAGGATGGAGCCCCTGGAGTGAGACACAGCCAGAAGAGATGATGTCTGAAGGAGCTGCTGCTTCAGTCTGAGTGAATCAGTGACAGGGTGAAAGCAGTTGGTGCTGCTCAGATCCACAAGAACATCCTGATGTCCTCTGTATGCCCAAGCATGACTTCACAACTACACTCATTTACAGAGTCAAAACCCAGGTAAACACCTGATTTCCACATGCAGTCTTATTTTCAACCACTAGGTGTCACTGAAACCAAGCTTTGACTAAATGAACCTGGGCGATTTGGCCTAAAATCAATATCACGATATAATGGGATTGTCTCTGGCAATAGATTTAATATAGTGCCATACTATAGTAATTAATACATTATATTAAGGGTGAAAATATTGCACAGCAGTATAACCTTACCTCTATTTTGGATTTCCAGGTTGCTATTTCAGGCACTGATTCCAACATTTGAGCAGGTAAAAATTCTGGACTAGTTTGTCTTTTTTCTGATCAGATTTTGGTACATGACGAAACAAAATAAACATTTTAAAATGCGCAACAATCCAAACTTTAAACTTTCATAACCTGTGCCATCGTTTACTTTTCTTTTGCTTGCCCACAAAGTATCACACAAACCATTGCGCGCCGCATCCGGTAGGGGGCGCTAAACAGTATCTGCGAAATAGTCCAATGGCTGAACTAAAGACATAATTTCAGGCTCAGGCTATCAGTGATGTGTCAGTGCATTTATCTATTTATTTATTTATTTATTTACAGTATATAAATGTATCACTGATAAGTGCACACTATGTTGATTCTGCTATAAACAAACAAACAAAAACCGCTCACCACAGGTTTGTCCTCCGCGCGCTCTCTCGCGCTCCACGAGCTCATTGAGAAGCTGTGAGATGTTCGAGTTGAGCTCGGAAATCCCGCMGTTCAGTGAACCCAAAGTGTGTCCCACCTGAACGGCGAAGGCTCGGTTCTGTCCGTCTCTGAGCCTGAGCCTGGCGCGAACGCACGGCTCTGTGGGCTCCATGCTTCCCCTACGTCATCACCATGCGCCAGCCGCCTTCAGCTGCACTGCGTAAATATAACTCACCGCTATTAGAAGTGATTTTAAATCAAATGAAGCAAACTTTTATTGTTGAATAAACATCATTTAACGCGTTTCTATTTTAACTGGTTTAATTCCAATAAGCTAATATTTATTTTTTTTTGTTTGTAATTGTTTTGATGATATGTTTAGATCAGCTTTGGAATTGGGTTAAAGATACAAAACATGTTTTTGTTTACATCATTTTATTATTATTGTGATAACAGTGAAGGTATAATCACAAAACAAGTTTTTCTTGTAGCGTGATTGTCACTGCAAATAAAGTTTTTGCTAAAACATTGAAAAAAACCCACATTTTTTTGACACGTAAACACATCACAGTGTTTGCGCGCGCTGTTAACGTGATCAGTGTTTATTTGTTTACTTCAGTTGAGTCGCTTCGTGTGATAAACGTTTCGGCTGCGCGGGTTTCTGCTTCTGTCTCATCGGTCAGTTAACGTACTGACCTTTCACCTCCAAACCGGAAGTTGTGGTAAGTTAGTATTAGTTGGCGCTCCGATAACAAAGATCCAGGATTAGACCGAGTCAGTAATAATAATAATAATAATAGTAACAATAATAATCACCGATTAGCTGATTGGATCGTGAACGACGGGACAACACAGCGAAGAGTTTCAGAACACACTTCCGGTCCGGTGAGTTTTGTTTACGATGGCCCAAACAGCATTAGCATTAGCATAGCGAGGCTAACAGACGCTAGCTGATAACTTAGGACTTAGAGTTATTAAAGATGAGTTTATGGTGAACGTGTTGTACTGACTCCATCACTTATTAAGTTACTGATAAAATACACAAGTTAGGGTTACCATGGTAACACACTCTCCTCATTTGTCACTCGGTTAAATGTCTTCAGATTAATCAGAAAGAAATAATCAGGTAAATCTGCTAATTCAGTTTTAAAAACCTTCAATGAAAACCAGATAGGCTACACATCATTAAATTACATTAAATCTGAGGTTAGTTCCAGTTAGGAGATAATAATAATAATAAAATAAAAGTTAATCATTAGCAGGATTAATGAGGACATGGGGACCGTTACTGTTTCGTTTTGCAAATTTATTCATATTTAAAGAATGAAAATCAAGTGTAAGCATGTGTGTATACACTGTTAGGATTTACTAAAAGTAATAAAACAAAGTTAAAGTAAATTGTAGTAATAGAGTGTTAAAACATGTGTGTGTG